GGGGATGTCACCCAGGAGAGCAGCCTGTGTCCCCACTCCCCCTGCCACGTCCCCATCCCCTCACTCCTGCACTGGTGGCTCGGCCGCTTTCCCCGAGCTGCCTGTTCCAGGGTTGATGGTTTCTCCTGGATTTCCATGGCTTCTTCACTCGTTTGGCTTCTGGGGGTCACTTGGGCTGTGACATCCAGCCCCTGGCTCTAGAGCTGGGTATTTTCTCCCCAGGAAGGTTCTCTCTGCTTTGCTCAGGTCTCTCTCTCTCCAGCCAGCCCGTCCCTGCCGCGCTCCATCCATCTCCTGGGTCTTCTCATCACCTTCTCCAGCTGCTCAGTGTCCTTTGCTGCCTTCACTCGGGGTTTTCTTGTGCTGCTTTTATTGCTGTTTGTCACTGAGATCAGGTCCTGGCTGCTCCAAGATGTTAACCTGGGGGTTTGCATCTCCACGGAGCATAACGCTGTCCCCTGTCACCCTGTCCCTCCCTGGCTGCAGGAGGACAACCACAGCTACTACGTGTCACGGATCTACGGGCCGGGGGACGCCCGTCTGAGGGGGCTGTGGGTCGACATGGCAGCAGCCAACAAGAGCCAAGTGAAGATCCACGGGATCCTCTCCAACACGCACCGACAAGCCTCGGTGAGCCCGTGGGGTTGTTCTGGGTTGTCCCCCACATCTCCTCTCCCAGCAGGGATTTCCTGATGGTGGCATCTCATCCAGGGTCACAGCATCCCCTCCATGTCCCCTTGGTGGGGACCAAGGCTTGGGAAGCATTTGCTATCCCCCAGTCCAGGGTTGAAGGGGATGAGCTGTGGGGACCAGGCATGCACAGGACCCCCACTCCCATCCCTCTCCCACCCTTCCATGCACCAGGAGCTTGCTCCAAGCCAGGGCAGCACCGGTGGGCACAGACCTGTCCCCCCACATCCACAGTAGACATTTTTTCCAAGTGCTGAGCGTGGTTCTCACTCCATCTTCCTCCTGCAGAGAATCGTCCTCTCCTTTGACTTCCCCTTCTACGGCCACCTCCTGCGGCAGGTCACGATAGCGACGGGCGGTGAGTCGGGGATGCAACTCCACCGGCATTACCCACAGCGGGACGGCTAGACGTGGCTCTGGGGCTGGTTCTAACCTCACCCCACATCCCAGAGCCTGGGGAGCTCAGAGAAGGGGGTGCAGCCCCTTCTCCCTGCCCTGCTGCTGGGGCCTCAGTTTCTGCAGCAGTTGAGGGGATGTGGGGGGGGCACACAGGGTTGGGGGGGGTGCTGGGGGCTGGGGGTAAAAAAATGGGCTGGGTGAGCCAGGGTGGGGTGGTGGGGGGTTAGAAAGAGGGAGGGAGCATCCCGGGGTGTGGAGGGGAGCGTGTGTGGCTTCACCCTCCTCTGCTCACTCAGGTTTTCTCTTCATGGGGGACGTCATCCACCGGATGCTCACGGCCACGCAGTACATCGCACCCCTCATGGCCAACTTCAACCCCAGCTACTCCCGCAACTCCACCGTCCAGTACTTGGACAATGGTGAGTCCTGCTCTGGCCAGGTCCCGTGCCAGCCGTGGTGGCTGCCTCCCTGCCCGCTCCTTCCCCAAAAAACTGGGGAAAACTCAACTCTTCAGGGTGAATCGAGGGGCTGGAGCCAGGTGAGGGCGTGGGGAAGGGGAGCCCAGGGCAGCCCAGGGGCTGTTCAGCGCCGGGGTTGAGGTTTGAGATGTTTGGCAGAGGTTTGTTCATGGGTCTGCTCAGAGAAAAGTGCTGGAGGCTGGGGGATGAGATGACTTGGAGCTTCACTGACAGAAGGTGACCAGCCAGGCTGTTGAGATGTGGAACATGAAGAGATGAGAGGATTGATCCGCTCTGGTCTCTCCCCCAGGGACGGTTTTTGTGGTGCAGTGGGACAAGGTCTATCTTCAGGGGAAGGAGGACATGGGCAGCTTCACCTTCCAGGCAGCCCTGCACAGCACCGGGAGAATTGTCTTTGGGTACAAGGAGGTGAGAGATGTTTCTGCTGGGGAAGGCACAGCAGGAGGGTCCCCATGAGGGATCCCCGTGGGTCTGGGAGGAGATTTGATGTTGGAACTGTTCACACGCTGAGTCTGGGCATTCCCAGTGCCACCAAAGCACTGGGCACCTCTGCAGCAGCACCAGGAGCCCGGGGCAGGGCTGGGGTCCATCACGGCCTCTCTCCCCGGCTGCAGATCCCCGTGCCAGTCCTACAGATCAGTGCCACCCAGCACCCCGTGAAAGCTGGCCTCTCTGATGCCTTCATGATCCTCAACCCATCTCCTGATGTGCCTGGTGAGTCGCTGTGCTTGAGGAACTGGGGGAGGTGGCTGCTGGGGCAGGGGAGAGGCTGATCCCTCCCTTGGGAATGCCAAAGCTCCTCTGGCATCACGGCTGGGAGAGGGGGGAGATGGGGACGGAGAGATGGGACATCCTTGTCTTTGGGCGCTTGAAGACGTGAGGATGCGCTGCTTGGATTTGTGGTGGGGAGCAAAGGAGTGTGAGGAGGTGTGTGGGGCTCGGCTGCACGGATGCCCCTCACGTCCCATGTCCCTGGGTGCATCTTATCTCTCTTGGGGTGCATCTCCCTCGAGGTGCATCTCATCTCCCTCAAGGTGTGTTTCTCTTGGGGTGCATCTCATCTCTCTCAAGGTGCATCTCACCATCTCTCTTGGGGTGCATCTCCTTCAAGGTGCATCTCTCCATGGCCAGGACCATCTCGCAGCCTTGTCCCCATGGGTCAGGGTGACCCCAGCCCGTGCCCACTCTGTGCTTTCTTGAGGCTTTGCAGACAAAAGTGCTTCGTGCTTCTCGCCCAGTGTGTTCAGAATGGCTGTGAGCTGCCAAGCTATCGCTTCCCTGATCTCCAGCTGATGAGGAGGAGGGGAGACCGGTTGCAAATGAGTCTGCAGATGGTTGAGAGGCTCAGGGGGTGCTGCTGGGTGCCCCATTCCCATAGACGTGGGGGTTCAGGGGACCCTACAAGCCACACCGCTGCTGCTCTGGGCTGTCCTTGAGTGCGCAGCGTGACACGGGTGCTGCAGGGCTGGGATCTGCACCCGTGTCAGCAGGACATGGGGACGGCTCCATACATGTCCACATGCTTATTCCACATGTGCCATGAGCTGCACATGGGGTGAGCTTTCCAAAAAGGCTCTTCCAACCTCTCCCATCCCCAGCCTCACTCCTGCCTCCCCGTGCTGCACCCGACACGGTGGCTTTGCCTTGGTGTTTCTGGAGCCCCCCATCTGGCCCTCGGTTTTTACCTGATTATAAGGATTTGTGTAAAAAACTCAGCCAGGCTGGATGGTGCCTCCCCTCCCTGTCCCACCAGCCTGTCCTTGGCTCTCCATCCCTGTGGGCTTCCCAACCCTGCCTGTCCTGGGGTGTGAGGGGAAGCAGGAGAAGAAATGCAAGAGTTAGGCATGAAAAAACCTAATGAGGAGAAGACACGAGGCTTGAAGGGAAGGAGAGGAGAGGGTGGGAGGGGAGAGCTCTCCATCCTGCTCATCTGCTGGGCTCTGGGCAGTGAGGAGCCACGGGAAGGGCAGGTTGGATCATCCTCACAAGGGCACCAAACCAGAGAAGCATCTTGGCTGGTGTCAACATGTCAATTAGCAGCAGACACTGGGAGAAAATTTAGGAGAAGCTTTAGTCCAAGATAAACCCCTCTGGTCCCCGGGATGAAGGGGAAAGAGAAGGGAGGGGATGAGGGTGAGGGCTGGGGGAAGGAGGAGGGTTTTGGGGTGAAGGAGGAGGTTTTGAGGGGAAGGAGGAGGATCTTTGGGGAAGGAGGAGGGTTTTTGGAGGAAGGAGGAAAAATTTAGGAGAAGCTTTAGTCCAAGATAAACCCCTCTGGTCCCCGGGATGAAGGGGAAAGAGAAGGGAGGGGATGAGGGTGAGGGCTGGGGGAAGGAGGAGGGTTTTGGGGTGAAGGAGGAGGTTTTGAGGGGAAGGAGGAGGATCTTTGGGGAAGGAGGAGGGTTTTTGGAGGAAGGAGGA